CCAACAGGTACATGAGACAAATAACCTTCCACAATCTTAAAGTTCAGTATGGAACACTTATCGAACTTCACTCAGCAATGTTGCCTCACAAGAATCAAAATGGGGCGCAAGTGTTGTTTCATGTAGACTTGTAATTGAGAATCTAAAAAAGTCATTTTTAGTTCTTCAGTTTAGTTTCGCTTCAGTATGTTTGATTTGTGATGATCTAATGTTCGAATCTCTTCTTCAGCTCTGAGACCTTAATGGGAGCCTGGGTTTGATCTTCTGGTGTTGATGAAACAGGCGATTTCATACTTTGTTCTTCAGTCTGCAGGCCCGTCATTGGCCCCACATTGATTTTGTGGGTTCTGATGGGAGTTTTTAGAGATTTATCCCACCCTCGGGAACCAGAAGAGTCAGCCGAGGACTGGAACAAAGCTACGGTAGACAAAACAACACACAGGGACGCGCAGCAGCACACAAACATTTTTAAAAATTAAATTCCGCCATGTAAATAGCCATGGCGTGAGCGCAACTGGCTTTTAAAGGGGATGGGAGATGAGACTCTGATTGGTTTATTGCACGTTACGCCCAAAACACACCCATTACTCATTAAGAGAATAGGGACAACCCGTTTAGACCATGCGCCCGGGTGCGCCGACCGCCGACCGTGCGCCGACCGTTTTTCTAACACGGGTTCTCCATGAAATGCTATAATTAAACATTTAGGTGTCTTTTTAATTTTTCTGCATCTTCAGTAAGATAATTAAATGTTGTTAACTGATTCAGGCTTATTTTAATATTTATATTTTCCATTTATTTGAATTAAGAAATTTTGTTTTGTAATATATATTCAAAGTTCTGGCATGAAACTCTAGATGGCGCAGTCCATCAAAGTCAATATGACATATGACATCATTATCACATGGCACAGCTGATTGGTTCTCTCCTGTAACGGTAGCCTATGAGCTCGCTGCTTAACATTTAAATAATTGGTATCGTTTGCTGTAGCAGTAGCAGCACACTTCAGAAACCCTCCACCTCCCCCAGCTCCACCTGTATAGATCTGCTACGGGGTGATAATATATGCTATGGGGGTTATTCATATATTTTATATGTGCAGCAGCAATATTTCTTACACGCTCACAACAGCATGTTGCAAGTCTCGGTATACTTGCTGTGCCGCAGCAGCGTAGCAGATCTCTTCTGCGAAGACCAAATACATTAACATTGTCATGTACATTACCATGCAAATCACTCTGAGAGTTGTCATGACAGATATATATATATATATATATATAAAATTAATTTGCAATTTGCTTTTAGTACTTCCTGTTTTGGCAACTTTAGCTGATAGCTGATTTAAGTGTTACAATGTTTGAAAGTGTTTAACATGGTAATGGTTTCCTCAGTTAGGATTTCAAAGTGTAAAAATGCATAAATTATTAAACTATTAATATTAAATCAAGCAGAAATGGGTAATTTAAAAAAGGGCCCATTTTCCATTGTAATACAGACATGCCATTTAGCAACAATTCCCTACACTCTCAGAAATAAAGGTACAACAGTTGTCACTGGGGCGGTACCTTTTCAAAAGGTACATATTTGTACCTAAAGGGTCCATTTTTGTACCTTAAAGGTACATATTAGTACTTAAAGTGTACATATTAGAACCTAATAGGTACAAAAGTGTACCTTTTGTAAAGGTACCGCCCCAGTGACAACTTTTGTACCTTTATTTCTGAGAGTGTAGTTCCTGTACAATTTCTTCTAATTATTAGAAGAAATGTTGCTATTTACTATTATTAGAGCTATTTTATGTCAAAAATCATGTGTGAAAAATATTCCACCATTATAACGTACACCATACAGGGCTAAATATCTTCTGATTGTGATGCCAGTGTTGTAAAGACTTGAAATGTGCTCTTAAGGCTGAATGCAGCTTGTTTGTTGCAGGTTATGCCAGACACCCTGTCAAGCACCGTTTAGATGTAATGTGTGAGAGGATCCAGGCCTTACATGTGAGATGAATTCACTGCTGTCGGAGCTGAAGAGGTCGAGGCTGCGTGTGCCGTAGAGTAAACCCGGCTCTCTGGAGCTCTGAGCGCTCAGCGTGTCAAAGATCTCACCGAGCAGATCCATCTCCTCCGGGTCGGCCAAGAGAGAGAGATCATCATCTTCCTGTAAGTCGCTGGTGCCAGAGCACTGCTCGAGACTTTCTGTTACACTGGAAAGGGAAATGCATTGTAAAAAAATACATAAAACGGCAAGGCGTCCATGCATCTGTGTCCTCTCATCTCACCTGTCCTCATAGGTGGTGTTGTCATCCTCTGTCTGTTGTTCATAGCCCTGGTGGCTGCTGGTGCCCTGCTTGCGTGTCGGCCGGCGTGGTCGAGACTGAGAAACAAAGCAGCATAGAAAGTGTAGAAAAACGTACCATATTTACAAAGTAAAGTGAATCTGTTGTATTGTGGTTGAACACAAGGTAGAGCCAAACTGCATGAATTATATACACAAGTCCAGTACACAGTATATATTAGTCAGTAAGTTCAAAAAAGAGAAATTATTCAACAAGGTTGCATTAAATTGATCAAAAGTGAAGACATTTATAATGTTATAAAAGATTTCTATTTCACATAAATGCTGTTCTTTTGAAAAAAAAATATTCATCAAAGAATCCTGAAAAATAAAATACATCAGGGTTTCCACAAAAATATCAAGTAGCATAACTGTTTTCATCACTGATAATAATCAGAAATTTCTTTAGTAAATCAGCATATTAGAGTGATTTCTGAAGGATCATGTGGCACTGAAGACTGGAGTAATGATGCTGAAAATTCAGCTTTGATCACAGCAATAAATTACATTTTGCAATATATTCACACAGAAAACAGTTCTTTGAAATTGTAATAATATTTCACAATATTGCTGATTTTACTGGATTTTTTAAAACCAAATAAATGCAGCCTTGGTGAGCAGATGATACTTCTTTCAAAAACAACAAAATCGATTCCAAACTTCTGACCGTATGTTTAGCTTTATGACATAATTTTTGTGCAGTTTAGTGTGGATGCCTTCAGGTGTCACTCACCCTGCCAAAGTGCTGTGTGATTGGTAGACGATTCTGAAGGCAGTCTGATTGGATGAGGCGATACGTGTGCGTTCCACACACAGACCCGCCTCTCTGTAGCATATGAGGTTCACTTTGGTCCTGAAAGGGAAAATGCCAACAATTAATCATAAACAGACACAGATGTGCACTAAATCACATATTTAGTACACACAGAGGAAGCATGTGCAATATAAGGAACATAAACTCACCTTTGATGACAGGAGGTTTTTCAGCCCAAATTTGCTGTGATATTTGGTCTGAGATATGAAGAGAATTATGTCATGCAAGAACAATCAAAATTGAAACCGTATTCATGTAATATTTAATAATGCACAGCGGCACATTACAAATTAATACGATTATGCGATTTATGTTAAACATAAAAGTTCGAATTTTTAAAAAGAAATCAATGCTTTTATTCAGCACAGAATTAAATGAAAAGTGACAGTAAATACATTTAAAATATATCTATTTTAAATAAATGTCGTTCTTTTGAAAGTTCTATTCATCATAGAATCCTGAAATATATAATATATCACGGTTTCTACAAAAATATTCGGCAGCACAAGAGTTTATATTTGATAATAATCAGAAATGTTTCTTGAGCAGCAAATCAGTATATTAGAATGATTTCTGAAGGATCATGTGACACTGAAGACTGGAGTAATGATGCTGAAAATTCAGCTTTGATCACAGCAATAAATTACATTTTAACATATATTCACATAGAAAACAGCAATTTTAAACTGTAATAATATTTCACATTATTTTACTGTATATAACGACATACAGTATTTGAAATTGTAATTATATTTTACAATAGTACTCTTTTTACTGTATTTTTGATCAGATACTGTAAATGCAGCCTTGGTGAGCAGAGGAAACTTCTTTCAAAAGCATTTCAAAAATCTTAGCAACCCCAAACTTTTGAACAGTACTGTATAAATACTCACTGCTTTGTTCGCTGTAGTCTTCCATGTCACAATCAGAGCTCCACCCCCTTTCTGTGGGGAGAGAAAGTAGCTTTTTTAAATCCAATTTTGTGTAAAAACAACTTTTGTAAGTCTAATTTAATTATGAGTTATAAAGAAAAAAATAACATGTTTGATGTCCATACTAGTTTATTTTGTCTGACTGGAAATGGAGGGTCAGGCATGCTCTGCTGTAAACTGAGCATTACTGTAATATAACTTGTACGTAATCTGTGTATACTGAAAATAGTGTGCGCTGTATGCATACTGCAGATATCATAAGAGTAGTATGGTTGTCTTCCAGAGTGTCATGTTTATGGTTCCTGTAAGAGTAAACCGTACCTTTAAATTTCCCACCCATTGCCGTCGCAGTTTAGAGCCACCTGAGAGGAATCACGGACAGAAGGGGTGTTAAAATGAGCAACCCAACAAGCAAGTCTGATTCTGTGACGAACGTAAACACGCACCAGATGAAGCACCACACTGAAGCACCTCTTCCTCAAACACATCATCCGGCTCTTTGCCCTGGTCCAGCATTGTCAGCCGGCCATCAATAAACTGTGAACAAAATGACATTATAATGGGAGAAACAATACAGCTGTGCCACGGTTATTCTTATAATCCTCCATTGTGAAACTTAAATGTTATTTGTTTTTCTGCATATTTAAGACTGGGAAGGCACTAAATGCCATTGGTTCTCTGCATATTTATAATCAGTCACGTGAAGTAGGAATATGTGCATGCTCAAGTTGCCAATGCTTTCTTCACACAAGCGATCATATGACTTCAGAGGACTTGAAGTACACTTGAAGTACATTTGGGTACGTTTTAAAACTTTTATGGCGCTATTTTTGCAGCTTAACATCCTCAGACCTCATTCAGCGCAAAAAAGAGCAGCATGAACATTCTTCAAAACATCTCCATGGAAAAAAAACCTCCACAGGAAATAGTAAGTCATATGGGTTTGGAACGATATTAGGGTGAGTAGATTATTTTTGGCTGTACTGTTCCAAAACATAGGTGGAATTAACTAATATATTTCACTATACTTCTCCATTTAATTAATCTGAGTACATTAAGACGATTGTTTTGTATTGCAAGATTTTTTAAATGTTTAAATATGCAAATGAGACACTATGTAATTTAATGTCTGCTAATTTGCATACATTGCCAGAACAGAAATATGAGCATCCAATAAATCCAGGCTCAAAATTCTTGTTTCATTAAGTTTACATATTAAAGGATTTTACAAAAGGGGATTTTCGATATCTCTTTTAATCACTTTTTAAATACTAGAAAAAAAAAAGTTATACAAATCAGGTGAATGATATATAAACACATTCCTCTATAAAAACCTTCAGAATATAGATAGGAATAAAACTGGACAGTTTGTGTATACGGGCTACTCCAGTGCAGATTTTTTTATTTATTTAATATTATTATGAAATACTATTTTTATGAATTATAGTCTTAAAGGGGTCATATGATGCGATTTCAATTTTTCCTTTCTCTTTGAAGTGTTACAAGCTCTTGGTGCATAAAGAAGATCTGTAACATAAACACATTTCATTACACCAAATACACAAAATAATGCTATTTTTTAGCAACATCGTATGACCCCTTTAATTCAGAATTAATTTTTAATGCAATTATTAAACTAGGTTTTATTTGATAATTTATGATTAGTTTTTTTTTTTTTCAAATTTTTCATGTTTTAGTTAAAGTTTTAGAAATTTTGTTGTGCGTTTCTGTCATTTTTATTACTTTATACATATAAATGACCATGAATTTAACGGTAAAAGACTGTAAAAATGCTACAGTAAAAACCTGTTAAATGGTTAACGGTAAGTTCCCCTATACGGCGAAAAACTGTATTGGACATTACATATGATTCTACGGTAGTATACCGTTTTTTGAAGTGAAAAAGAACGTCTAATTTACAGTGAATAACCGTAAATTTACATTCCCAGAATTCCCTGGGTTACATTTCAAATTTGATGTTTTTTTTGTTGAAATAACTATGTTTCTTCTTAGTTTTGTCTTATCAGTTTTGTACATTAGGGTTGTATGTTACATCTAATGTTGTTAAATTAATGTTTATTGCATTATTTCAGTTTCATGTGTGTTACCATGATGGTGTTTAGTGTTTGTGTGAATGACACTGTGCACTTTCTATATATGTTAATATTTAAAAGCTGCTTGTGATAGGCTTTGGTTTATCATGTGACTTTCTCATCACCACCTGCCTTTGGAGGTTATCAGTGTATTACAAAGGTACAAAACAGATTTCAGTACTTCAATAGGTTGGTATATTAACATTATATCAGTTAATGAAATTACGGTATTTAACTGTAAATTTAAGTTAAAACCGTAAAACCTAAAATGTTGCTACCGTATTTTTTACAGAAACATTCTGGCATCCACAGCTGCCGGTTTTTTACTGTAAATTTTACATAATTTTTTTTTACAGTGTACATACATATATGTAGTTCTAAATTTTTCAGCTTACACATTATTTTAGTGTTCTTGTTACAATACAATTATGTATTTAAGTACGACTAATATTAATCAGCTACTTGTACTTACTATACGGTTAGGGTTAGTTGCATGCAATTATTCATAATTTATTGTTATCATTATAGTAAGTGCATGTGACATATGTAACAAGGACACCATAAAATAAAACGCTACCAAGTTTTATTCCAGTTTTAGTTATTTTAGTACTTGAAGTTAAACTAAAATGAGAAAGGGTGACATTTTATTCATGGTTTTAGTTTTAGTTACTACTAATAACCCTGTTTCTTCTCTGTTTCATTTTGAGAAAAAAGCCTTTAAATATATGCACTTTACTTTAAATCTGCGTATACAAATAGAACAAGTAAATGTGTATTTTGGATTTTTTCCCCCCACTTGTCTGAAAGAAGATATTGTCATAGAAGCAAAACAGCCCTCAGAATTGACATTGCATGAAATAAAAAAGCTTTTGCCTGTAGTGTCTTGATAACTGCTGATGTTGTGTTTATGTGTTTGCAGTTACCTCTTTGAAACACTGCAGGTGAACCGCGCTCTCCAGAAACTCCCGCATGCTTTGAGACTTGTGACCGAGAAACAGCTCATTGCAGAAGACCACCGGCCCTTCCTTCAATATACAAGAGAGTAAGCTTTTATAAAACTCAAGGTCATGTTTTCACGTGAATGTGTGTCACTCACATCAGGCGACTGTAAGGCATCCCTGTATCCTCCGAACAGCAGAGCCTGGGCTCGGAGGAAAGCGTGCGCGACCCCTGACCCGGCCGACGCCGCCTGTCTCTTCAGCCTGACCTTCAGTCCTGCCACCTGCAGCAACAGATCTCACCGTAAACCTTCATCCTTCGTGAGTCAGAGATCTGCCAGGAGTCAAAGAGTCTCACCACGTCGGCCGGGATCTTTTTCAGGTCCTCGTAGGGCGACTCCAGGGTGTTGGTGTCCACGTTCAGTATGACCACGTCCTCCAGAGCTCGACTCCTCACTCTCTGCCGCACACAAACACACAGAGAGAGCCGCAGGGTGAGTGTTTGCGTGACTAAGTGCCGCTGTGAAAGAATACCATGGGACGAGGGAAGTGTCGTACCTCTGCCAGGCTTGAGTGAATTCCAATGAGGTATGGCATCGGTGCGCTAAAAACGGTAAATGTGAGATGAAATTAGGCAGCGTTCACACAGTACAGGTTGTATCGGCACTGTTAACATGAGCCGCGTAAAATTATGAAAGTTATCATAGTTACTGATATTCAAAATGGTAAGCAAGCACTGCTTTTGTTTACATCTTGCATATCTTTGTTTTGGTTTCTCCTTTTGAATGACGAATATTTAGAGAGCTAATTCCTCTCACGCAGGCACAGAACGCATGTGTTAGTTTGCAGACGGCTGTAGTCTGAGAGGTGTGTGTTCAAGTGCAGCTTTTTGGTCCAGACGCTGCCGACGCGAGGCGATAACACCGTCGGCTTTCATCGCAGCTAGTTATTTGAAGTCGGCTTGGTGTTTCCCAGCCTTAAGTCATTGATCTAATGACCTTTTTTAATATTTTATAGATTTTGATACTCATTGAGGCTGCTTTTTCTTATTAATATATATTTTTAATATAGTAAATAGTCTTTTAATTGTTTTTATTTTTATTCATCCTGCAATATGTTATTCAAAAATTAATTTTGTCAATTTGTTCTTGTTTATTGAAGATGCTGTTGTAACTCAGGGGTTCTTAAACTCTTTATATTAGCTCTCTTTATTTGAACTTTCAAATATTAATTAGCGCTGTCAAACAATTAATTGCGATTAATCGCATCCAAAATAAAAGTTTTTGTTTACATAATATATGTGTGTGTGCTGTGTATATTTATTATGTATATATAAATACACACACATGCATGTATATATTTCAGAAAAATATGTTATGTTTATATATTAAATATATTATTATATTATAATATAAATTATATGAATATAAAAATAGACATGGAAATACATGTAAATATTTTCAAAATTTATACTGTATGTGTGTGTATTTATATATACATAATAAACATACACAGTACACACACATATTATGTAAACAAAAACTTTTATTTTGGATGCGATTAATTGCAACATTTCGACCGGTCAGGTGTTCATCAGGCACTAAAATAACACTTGAACGTCTGTTGATTGTAAACGACATCAAATCAATATAACGATAGTCGCTAGTCAATGTGTATTTATTTAAACATAACAAATATACACAGAACACACACATATATTATGCAAACAATAACTTTTATTTTGTATGCGATTAATCACGATTAATCATTTGACAGCACTAATATATATATATATTTTTTTTTTTTTTAGTAGCCAAACCAAACGAAGTGTTATTAGTAAGAGCTCACAAAAAGTTCTTTTTTTAACATTCAATATTGTTTTTATTCTTATCTATATATTTTTTATAAGAATTATTATTAAATATTTAGTTATAATTTTTTTTGTTAAACCAACAAATTTTAGTAGCCAAACCAAACTAAATGTTATCAATATTGGTTCACACAAGCTGCTGCTTGTCTTTTCTTTAATAGTTTTTATTCTTATTTATGTTAGTAAAATGTAATTTTTGTAAGCTTTTCTTATTTATTGAAGACATTGTTCTAGCCTTGGTGGTTTTTAACCCCTTGAATTCAAAGGCCCTCATTGTTAAGCACAATAAATAATAATTTGTTTAAAAAAAGAATAAATACAATACAAAAAGAAAGAATAAAAAGAAACATAATTACAGTTGTCTTCTTGATTTTATGTATTTCTAGCGCTTTTATTAAGTTAGGTTATTTTAATGTATTAATAATATCATGTCTCACCAGCAGTAGTCCAGCAGATGAGGAGGCAGCACTGGGATGAAGATGTGCTGCCAGTACATGGGGTACAGCATCCCGTTACACGCGTGTATGCAGGCCGTCAGCTGAAAACACACACACACACACACACACACACACACACACAACAATGCATTGCCGTTTGGTGCATGTTTTTAATGAAGCTGCCTCCCAACAGAAGACATTTTTAGTGTCAAGTGACTTATCTGCCCTCAGTGAAAGAGGAGCATGCCACATCAAATGACAAATTCTCAGCCAATCAGAGGACATTTCATTGATTTTTGGAATAGAAGCCAAAGAATGTGGTGCAGCTGGTTGGGACAAAAACTGTGATTTGTCACGTGTAGATTCATTATGTCACTCCTGGTTAGGTGTTAAGGCATTTTCACACTAGGGTTTGAGACAAGGAAACAAATCCATTTGACCATTTTTTCAGTTGGTTTGGTTGGTGTGAAAAACCACACCACAGTGCGTTTGCGCACAGTACGTATGCAGTTCCCAAATGGTCATCAAGGCAGTGATGTGTAATGTGCTTGTTGTGGAATAAAGCACTTGAAATAGTTGTTTTTAAATGGAATGATGTGTTTTTATCACATTAAGTGAATTACACTATATTCAAGCTGTGCATTTCAGTGCATGCATTCCCTTGGGAATCAAACCCATGCTCTACTGTTGCACGAGTTTAAGTTTACGCCTTGTGAACCAAGCGTTATCAGTTCTGATTCACAAAGGCACGCTGAACTCACAGTGCTGAGTTTGCTGCAGTAAATGAGGATCCGTCTCTCAAACAGCATGCTGGCGTAGAGCTGCAACAGGTTTCCCACATCCACTGCCACCACCAGCTCCGTCAGGTTCCTCTGATACACACACACAGACATACATACCGGTCAAACGTTTGGAAAAATTAGGATTTTTCATGTTTTTGAAAGAAGCCTCTGCTGCTCACCATGGCTGCATTTATTTGATCAAAAAATACAGTAAAAAGAGTAATATTGTGAAACATGATTGCAACCTAAAATATCTGTTTTCTGTTGTAATATGTTGTGAAATATAATTTATTTCTGTGATCAAAGCTGAATTTTCAGCATCATTACTCCAGTCTTCAGTGTCACATGATCCTTCAGAAATCATGCTAATTTGATGATTTGCTGCTCAAGAAACATTTCTGATTATAATCAGTGTTAAAAAAAATGTTGTGCTGCTTAATACTTTTGTGGAAACCGTGATATTAGACTAATTTCTAAAGGATCATGTGACACTAAAGTCTGGTGTAAAGATGCAGAAAATTCAGGTATAAATGATCAATAAAACAGTTATTTTATATTGTAATGTTTCACAATATTATAATTTTACTGTATTTTCTGATCAAATAAATTCAGCACATTTAAAAGTCTTTTTTTTTTTTTTTTGGACCAGTAGTGTATAAGAACGGAGGAATAAAACAAACAAATAAACCCCACAAAATAAAAAAAAATTCTATTGGAAACAATAGAAAAACTCACACTCTCTGGAATAGAGGGCAGGGCTTTGGGATCTGGCGCGATGAAGTACGGGATCTAATGGGGAGGAAACATTATTCCAGAAAATTAAACAGTCAGTACCATGAAACCGTGAAAGTAAGGCCTTCGAGTTAGTCTGATCTCAAGGTTCTTAGGATGAATGCTTTGTTATTCATATTTTCAAAAGGACCCATTAGTGTTTTAGTTAAGCGCTGTTAGAGATCCAGGGTTAGTTTTGGACACTGGATTAGTTCGATTTCACATTATGGATGGCATTAGAATTTATTAGATGCTGGAGTGACGGTTTAGTCCGGTCTGCTGGTTTTAATGCGGATCAGGGACTCACCCCCTCTGACTCCTCCCCTTTAGGGGCGTGTCCACAGATGCCAGGCATATGGCTTCCAATCATTAGCTTCCCTCCCTCAGTGAAGAACACACCAACCTGATTGTGATGTCACACGTGATGTCATAAACGGAACTTCCACCAGCCAATGAGCACTTACCATCTGCAGTGTGATGGAGCCATTGGCCGGAGGCACGGGGTGCTTGTAGAGGACCGAGAGCAGCTCCTTCACCTCGTTGGTCTGGCAGGGCGTTTGAATCAAAGCAATGGTGTTAGATAAATGGCTTTTTAGATCATTAGGAGACCGTTAAAATCATACCTGTCCTTTCGTTGAGTAGTCGGCTAGATTATTCAGAAGTTTGTAGAAGACCTCAAACCAGGGCAAATAACTGTGTTGAGAGAGAAATTGCACTTCAGTCACGTCAAATAGCTGGTAAAGAGTTTTATGTGTAGTTACAGCTAACTATTCCAACTTAAAACCAGGTTATAAGTGTAACATACACCTTATAATGAGACCTGAAAACTGAAAGTGATTGTGGCCATGAGAAGCAGACCGTGAATGAATAAAAGGGGCTACATAAATCATCACTCATTTGTTTTTGGGTGTATTTTGAGACCTGAGGATGCACAAGCAGGTCTGAGAGCTGGACGTGAGTCTGCAGAAACCGAAGCGCTGGCATCCTTCCAGATCGGTCAGGACGAATGTGAAGTGCTGCACGGCGACAGTGTCCTTCACCCTGCCAACCAACCGACTAGCCTCAGTTAATCAGTTATGAAAGGTAAAAAGGCTTGAGCATCCATCTTTAATAATGAATGAACGATTTTCACCTCTCTATGTCATAAGGGAAGCAGAAGCGCGGCAAGGACTGAAGAGACTCCTGTGTGAGAATAGAAGAAACGCCATCAAATATAGGTTCCAAAACAAGGCTTTCACAGTGATACCATTGAAGAACAATTGTTGGTTGCCCAAAGAACCCTTAAGTGAACAGTTCTTAAAGGAACTGTTTTTTTCTTAGTGCAAAGAACACTATAAAGAACCGTTTGCGGAATGGAACGTTTCCATGGATGTTAAAGGTTCTTCATGGAACCATCAATGCCAATAAAGAATGTTTTATTTTTAAGAGTGCACCTGCTGATAAGTCACCTCAAAATCAATATCTGTGCAAATATTCCTTCACAAATGTTCCATTTACTTGCATAATGTGAGATATTTCTGAAGTAAAAGGAAAGAATCCATCAAGACTTTACTGGATGATGAAAAGTGGGTGTTTGATACCCGAATGGGAGTTTTGGATTGTGGACACCCTCCAGAGTTTCTCTATTTCAAATCTGTCTTTATTTATTGTCCTAAACTTTATTATATTTATGTTAATATGTGTTAAATTACTGTTATCACTGTCGACAGCAGTTTAAAAAGGCTAAAACAATGCCTGTTCCCTGTAATACTATTATTTGACAATTGATTGACATTAACGCCAGGTGCCCTCAGTGCCATTGCCAGAAAAGCAAAGTTGCTGCAGAAGTGGAAATGGTTATTATATTTTGATGAAAGATAAAATGCATTTATTATTTCTAATTTTCCCTAATTCTTCAAATTTAGCTATTACATTATCCCCCGGTTTCACAGACAAGGCTTAAGCCTAGTTCTAGACTAAAGTGTAAGTCTGAGCTGTTTCAACTGAAAGAAACTTTCACTGATTGATCTTGAAATATGTCAGTGCCTTTGTTTTGTCTCAAGATGCACACCAGTAATGCTTTTTTCTAAGGCAAATTTATAAAAATGACTTAAATGTCCTAATTGAACTATGGCCTAATCCTGGCTTAGGCTAAGCCCTGTCTGTGATACCGGGCCTATGAATACCAGAGGCTATTTATCTTATTTACTTATTTTATTTATTTATTTTAGGATATTTAATTTATTTATTTGTGCATTTGTTTTATTGATGCATTTATTTGTGAAATGTTTTTTATTTATTATAATTTCCCCTAATTCTTAGCTAGTACATCATGGTAAGCAGAGGCTTGACTTATTTATTTGTGCATCTATTTGCTCATGCAATTATTTATTTATTTTTTATTTTTTTTTAGAATTTTTTAATAAAATTAATTAATAAAAATAAATGAAGTTTATTTGCAAAAACAGAAAACTGTTTTTTTATTATGTTATCATGTTTTATTGTTTTATTGTGTTAGTCAGCTGTATTTTTTAGTTATTTTTACTTAATCAAAAGAACCCAACTGCAGTCTGATTGAGATTAATTGGAGTGCACAATGAAAAAACACGATTTTTGAAAATGGTTAAAAGCTGAGTAATCTGTTTTTGCAAATTAACTCTTCAAATGAAAATCAAATGAAAACAGAAGGAAAGAGCCACAGTGATCCTCGAGTACTAACCTCATCATTAAAGTCTTCCGGGAAGTGAAACAGCACATCAGGATCTACTCAAATAGAAAACGCACACACACGCGCGCAAGTCAGTCACATCGGTTCATTTCTCAAGTAGAGGATGTGGTTAAAGTCAGGTCAAAGTTAGCCACGCAGGGTAACCAGTCCGGCTCAGCCAGACCTCATCTAGACTCGGTCCAACCTTGCTTCCTTTTACCCGTCAGCAGATCACAGCATACTAACTAGTTCCTCTGACTTTTCTCATTCTGACGAGTGTGTATCTGCCCTGATGTGTGGTTTTTCTAGTTCAGTCATGTGACAGGAAGAGCCATTCTCAGAAGAGACAGTTTGTGAGTGTGTGTTTATTACATCAGTTAGTCAGTGTGTGTGTGTGTGTGTGTGTGTGGTACCCACCTTTATCTCTGGCGATTGGACATGAGGCTTGAAAGAACCAGTAGAATGTTTTTTCAGGGTTTTCTCTGAGAACAACAAAACCATGAGCAAAACAGTCATCATAACAAAACATTACACTCATCTGATGTGTGAAGCATTAACACTGTAAGAATGACCAGCGACTGAATGCGATCGGCTCTCAATCATTTTCTGCTGTTCTTCTTACAAGATCTTAATAAGGCGCTTCATTGGTGGAGCAGGATGTGGTTGACTACTAAATTAGAAGAAGCACATCAACAGAAAATATTTCCAGTTATGAGTTTGGCCGTCTGTCTAAAATAGAATTATGCAAATGCAATGATCCTAACAGAATGTTTGTCTGCTAAAACCAACCAAAGGAGATTTTTAAATGACAAACTATCAAGAATGTGATGAGAAATGTTCAAATTGAGATCTTTAATCGCAGGTTTTGGCAGATCTGTTGTTTCTCAGGAGAAAAATCGGACTCCATTTGCAATTGAGTTGTAAGAGATCGTATTCTTTATTTTTCACTCCCAAGAGATGAGAAACCAATAGATGTAGTGTTGAAGATGGTTACATGTTGATAGTTAATGTGATTCTCCACACCTGTGTGAACTTTAGAACTGACTTCATACAGCTACTAAAAATGACCAGAACAGCAGCTGATCCGAACGCATCGAGACTTAAGAACTGATGAAGAAAAGTGCATTGAGGTACTTGATCTGATGTTTTTCTACTTCAGTGACATTCAGACTTAAAGCAGTTTTGAGGATGCTATGCATTTTCGCAAGCCAGCTGAAATGAAGCAGGGAGAGATGGTGCTTCTGCGTGGAAAAGTGTGCAAACTGTCCATCTGTTCTCCTGCAAAACTCTCCAAATGTTGCAGTTTTTGTTTGCGAGTTTATTCATTGAATTGTGACATGATAGAAAGACTCGCATCCGAGAACGACAGAGTGAGGAAGAGGAAGTAAGCAGCAGACCACAAAGTGAGCAAACAGAGAGAAATCGACAGACAAACGGAGAGATTCTTACTTTATCCTGGAGCCCATGATGCACTTGAATGTTGGGGCCCATTCGGGGGTGTTCAGGGCGTCAGCAGACCAAAGTCATTAGATCCTTTATTAACGTGCATCGACACACACACTTCTGCACACACACATCCTCACATCAAACAGCCAGTTCCACCGACTAGCACACAACTCAAGACAGCACTTCCTGATCTTTGTGTGTGTGTGTGACCTACATGACAATATTCACTTTTTAATCCCATATTCTCAATAAGAACTACAATATTTTGCCCTTTGGTAGATCAAGTCTAATCTTTAGGTTGAATCGTTTCAAAAACGTATTCATTTTAATTAGACTCAAGGGAAGTATTTCAAATTGCTCACTTATTTTTATACATGACATTGTATGCACTTTTATTTAGTTTTATATAGTTTTAATCTATGTTGTTCTTATACTGTTATATTATTTTTAACTGGCCTGTCACTAATGTGTGTTCATTCATACTGTATAGGCTGAACTCACACTTTTACCTAGTGATGGTTGAGCACATAAACACAGAGGAAACACTGGAATGGACTTCCTCTATTGTTTCCCTGCTTTCTCATCACTGTTTTTATGCTCTCATCATCATTGCTCATGTGTTTGCTCTCGCTCGTGAGTCTGACACTGAAGGGTGATCGGCATGGATGTGCTGAGCAAACTTTGTCTTATTTACACAGACACACTCTTTCACACAAACACACCCTGTTCAGACAGCTGCTTTGACTAATATTGTCAATGCAATGAATGCACATCCAATTCTTGGTACCAACTGTTTTGTGCGAAATGGTTCCCTCTAGTGTTCACTGGAGGAGCAGCATTTTAGTTGTAGAAGATGTCCGGTTTTCTGAATGTGAGTTCAGTGCTATTTAACGGTTAGGCCTCGATGATATCCGAGAATGTTCTCAATTTAATTTTTCAACTTTGTGTGGAAGCCCGTTTTGACCTCTTGTAACGGAGGCCAGCAGGTAGGTGCTGTGCAGTTAAACACTAGCGACTGACGCTAGGGGCTACAGTCTTTAGCCTCCTTGTTAGTGTGTCTGCCTCCCATGCCGGAGACCCGGGTTCGAGACCCACTCGGAACAAGAACGAGGTGTGGCGGTGAGGACCTGGGAGAGAGGGGTTACATTGGTGCCGTGACCCGGATGGGAGTGAGGCTTAGGGGGGTGAGTGTATGGAGGCCAGCGGGTAGGTGCTGTGCAGGTAAACCCCACTCCCCTGAAATAACAAAAATCAGGTGCACAATCTAAAAATATAAGTCATAGACAAAATGCAAAGTAGTCAGCACATTGTTGCTTAAAAACAGTTTTCCAAAACAGATGCGACATCTTTTCATTGTGACCATGTCTGTTAATCTCCAAAAATGCTAAACACATCACAGTGACTTGTGCACTGTATTCCAAGTCTCCTGAAGCCAAACAATGGCTTTCACTTTTACAAATTTCACTTTTAAGTCACTTTTAAACCCTTCCAGTGAGCTGTTAACTCAAGTACCCCTGCAAACGAATCAGTGAGTTTTTCTTTTTTTTATGGGAAATATCTTTTTGTTTTTGTTGTGCTGAAGAAAGAAAGTCATAAAGGCGTGGAACAACATGAGGGTGTAAATGATGACAGTTTTCCTATTTGAGTTAACTATTCCATTAACTGCTGTAAATGCAATAAAAAAATGTTTGACTTGAAACATGACCACTGAAGTCTAATAAGTTATGGCAATAACAATATAACATGTATGTTCGACAGTTTATAAAGTCAAAGTGTTGAAGATGAATCTGACACAGGACTCTGACACCTATGAGATGAAAGTGGAGCAGGTGCTGAAAGAAGGTAAAGTTCATTATTCCCTCCATGTTTCTCCACTGATCATGAAATTCACATGAAATATGTCTGATTTATATTAAATGCAGTTGTACTTCTCCATTAATGCTCTAATGAAGGCTAAGTTACATTGCAGTAGAATTGTTTGGTAAACATTGTTCTGTCATGTAGGCACTGATGATAGTGTTGAAGGGAAAGTGAGACAATTTTGGGCTCGTCCCAGTTGCAGAGAACATTTATCATTGGTAGAAGGCAAGTCATACCTCATCATGGGCAGATCTGTTGACCTGCCAAAAATAGACGGAAGGTAGGTGTCCACTCTGTGTTTTCAAGATAGGATGATTTGCCTGTATCTATGCATTTAAAGTCTGTAGAGTGTTGTTCATACACTTAAATAAATTAAGCAATACAATTAATACAAATATAACTTGAATACAAATCTTCTATAGTGAATGTAGTTTATTTTCTGAGTTGAAATCTCTGGACCGGAGCCAAAGTCCGGATCAGACTGTGCGCGCTGCCACGGTTCGCGTGACACAACGTGAAACCAGACCTCATTTGCCCCAATCGAAAGCATATTTACACTATCTGAATCGTTCCCTATCGCCTACATTGTACACTACGTGCCATTCACTGTACAGGAAATACTACACTGTGAACAAGTGACCGATCTCAGCCGCAGCTTCAGCGTCTATTTATAGTGCAGGGGGTGGGCGCTTCGGTTTCTAGAGAGTGTTTGATTGGTCAGAAGATTTGATGAGAAGATGAAGTACGATGTGTCGTCAAAAAATCGTTGAGCCGTTTTGGTGGAAGTGACAAACTAAAAGCTTTGAATGCTTATATTTTCTAAATGCGAATTTTGTCACTGTTTTGGAGCACACTGCCTTATAGATAACCTTAAGACTATCATATTGATACACCAAAAAAACTTTAATTTTGATTTCATGGGGACTTTAATTGTTTAGCCTAATAAGCGCTCAAGCACACGCATAAAGCTTGCCACGGCACACCAGCAGAAGTAATGATTGTGAATGTTTCAGGGAAAAACAGTGAGGCTGCATTAACATTTTAATAATGTATTGATAAAGTGCTTTCTTTGTTTTCGGCTTAAGAGATGAAGTCGGCGACACTGACTCGTCATCTCCGCAGAAGTGGATCCGCCTGTATGCATGTTTCATAGGCTACAGATAACATATTCTGAGAATATCTGTTTTCCATTTGAATTGGTTCATTTGAAGGTATACATTTCACTCTCTATAGATACATTCTTCATGTCTTTAAGGCAAGTATACACTGAGTTTCGCGCTCAAGTTCATAGAGACCGAGACGGCAGAAAGCGCATCCTGTTTGCTTTTCATTGCTGGCACCGGCGCCTCCATCTGTCCCGCACTGAGCGCTACTGTTCAGCTTCCACACTCCATACAGACACTTCAACAGCGTGTCTACACCAGAGCACAACCATTGAAAATCATTTGAACTCTGTATCAGCAAATTATAAATAGAACGATGCAGCTGTTTACTGTCGGGGATTGTCGTGTCACGCCACGTCGCTTCCAGTGTACACAGCAAAATCCCCAGTGTTAAATTAACACTGCTGGGTGTCTATATGTGTCCCATTATAGTGGTCAGTGTTTACTTTAGTTGGGCTCTTGACCCTTGACTTTTTAATAATACATTTTATTTGACTGCTGTAACTGCGTTATAACAACTAGACTTTTGCAAAGAGCAAAAATCATCAGGTGGTGCTGATTATGTTTTGCTATGATCATCATATAGTGACTTGAATTACTGAGTCAGATTTTGTTTGTTGGTTTTGTCAACACTGTGAACAAAATAAGATCTGGCATTTTCAGTATAATCAGACAGATGATTTTGAAACTTATATTGATCAAAAACTTGCAGAAAAATCTTTAATTTAGACACACCGACATCAAGAATCAGCGTGAGAATCACAACAGTGACCATCACAAAAGCACACTGTAGCCAATCAAAAATCATCCATGGCTCCCATCATGCATTACGGCATGAATAAATTATGAGCAGAATTGTCTTTGTAATTTTCTGTTCTTACTGTTTTCTTTTATTTTTGCTGTTTTTATGTGACTTTTTAGTAGCTTGTATTGTGATGTTCAGAGTTGATCTTTTTATATGAATATGCTAGGGCTGCACGATATCGGAAAAAACTCACATTGAGATATTTTATTTTTCTGCGATATACAGTATGTTGCCATATGAAAAAAAAATCACCACATGACTTGAATAGTTTATTTGGAAAAAAAAAAAAGATTGGGGTGATTTTGTAGGCGAGTAAATAAGCATAGGAAATTAAAAAAATTACAAGCATAGATAAATAACAGTACAACGATTCAAATGAAATAAGCAGTGCTTTATATTTTTCAGGTAAGTCTACCAGTATTCAGGTACAGAAATTTAATAATCAAATGTAAAATAACACTGCATAGACTTCACTGTATAAATGAAATCTAATAAATCTGTGTTAAAGCTACAAAAGTGATTTTGCTACAAAAGTGATTTTAGTGCCTAAAAATGCATGGAAAACGCCAGCTGCGCCGCTTTCTCCTTCTTTCCAAAGTGCTCAGGAGCTTGTGCTTTCGTGGCGTCTGCCGTTGCTAAGCAACCATGACCTGCGCTCTCCAGAGGACGCGGAACTGTCAACAAAGGACAAACGGATTTCCAGCACTGAAAATCACGTGCAGTAGCTCTGCTACTAAATGTAAATGCTACTCGTCTGTACAGCTGTCGCGTCCGGTGTCTGCCGTGTCTGTGTGTGAGCAAAGAAAACAATCAGTATAAATATAATGGTCAGTAGCCCATACTAAACATCGCACATCCTGCGATGTGACTATCGTGGATGCGCACATCGTGATATCGATGCTGAAACGATATATCGTGCAGCCCTAGAATATGCTGTTTGTCACCGTTGTTGAGAATCATACGCTGATTCTTGATGTCTGCGTGTGCCTTAAAGAAAAGCTTTTTTGAAGATTTTTTTTTTATCAGAACAGCTTGTGTGAAACTCTTCCAAAATTTATAGAAACTAAACTAAAGTAAACACTGACCACTATAATGATGACTTTAAAAATTGTGATTTTCTTATTTGGTGATTCTGCTTGTTAACATCAGGTGTCTTCAATAATGGTCAATCATTACTCAACAAAGCTATTAATTACCTCATTAACGCTTCAGTGTTATTTTTAACACTCGTCTGCCGTGTCTGTGTGTGAGCAAAGAAAACAATCAGTATAAATATAATGGTCAGTAGCCCATACTAAACATCGCACATCCTGCGA